GGCATAGGGGGAGGGGCGGGGGACAAGTAAGCGCCTGTGCGCCGCGCCTGGCCCCACCTGAGCGTCTCCGGCGCGTGCAGCAGCAGCCCCGGCTGCCGCCCCGCCAGCGCCGCCGCCGCCGCGCCGTCCACGCCGAGGAGGTCGGCGAGCGCGTCCAGGCGCCGCCGCGCCTCCCGGGGTTCGAGGGCAAGCAGGCGCGGCAGGCGCGCGGCGGCGGCGCGGGCCTGGGGGGCCGGCAGCCGCGTGAGCTTCGAGAGCTTGTTGAGGCGGTCCTGCAGAGAAGGGGAGGGCGGGGCGTGAGGAAACATCGACCCTTGCGACAGGGCTGCTGCAACATCCAGATGAGAAAGGTACGCAGTTTGGCATGAGATGATGTGAGACTTTGAGACGGCAGTGGTGCAAGGGAGGAGATCCCTGGTTGCGTGCATGGCGGCTTCCCACTTGTATTGGCCCGCTTCTCGCTGCCGCCCGCCTCCGCCGCCCGGGGGCGACTGCCCCCAACGGGCGTTTGCACAGCATGAGTAGTCTCTCTCCCGCTCCATGGCGCATCTCAGCGCGTCATTTTAGGGGCGCGGCGCGCACCTGCAGTTGCCGCTTGCTGAGGGATGCCAAGCCGGGATCCCGCGACACGGCTGCCTCTGCCTCGTCCGGCCCCAACCCTAGGACAGCCTCCAGCGCCCGCACGGCCGCCTCACGCTTTCGCGCGTCCCTGGCCGCATCGGAGATGCCGCCCTTCCCAGTGTTTGCCGGCTGGGGCTGCGGCGGCGCCGGCGCCGGCGCGGGCGTGCTGGGTGCCGGGGCGGCCGCGGGCTGTGGGGCGGCGCCGTCTGCACGCGGGGGGTGGTGTGGCGCAGGGAGGGGCACAAGCATGAGTGGGGTCATCAGCCAATTTACCCTGTGATTGTGACACCTGTTCGGCAGTCACTCTGAGCATGTTGGTCAACCGACTGGCTCGGCCACAGGCTAGCATATTCCTCATGATGAATATGCATTTGGGAGGCTGCCCCCGCACAACAGCGGGCCGGGTCTCAACGCACGCACCGCCCTGCATGAGCCGCCGAAGCTTGTCGACCAAGGTGCTCTGCGCCTGCGCCTGCGCCCGCTGCTGTTGCTGCTGGTCATGTGCCTGCGGCGGCTCTGCCCAGCATGCCGGAGGCTGCACGCTGTTGAGGATGACGAGCGCGGCAGTTAGGACGGGGGCCGCTTGGCTGCTGAGCGGGGCCGCCGCATTGGCTTGTGTGCTGTGAGTGACGGCACGAGCGGTCGGGCGCGAAGCTCGCCGGCGGCAGCTGTGTGCGCCGGCGTCTTTTCGTGAGAGCACTTGATTGAGCTGCGGCATCCGCAATGATCCTCGAAGCAGCATTACGGCGGGCAACACTATTCTGTAGATCAGCAAAGTGATTCGCCGCGAAGATGGCGAGGGGGTCCTTGAAAACAGGAAGAGCCCGTAGATACGAGTGAGTGTGTTGCAGTAATAGCAGGCATGCAGGTTGCGAGGTGATGCAGTGTCAGCTACTTGAGGGCGGCGTGCTTTCATGCTCGCAGTTGGTCCACTGCCAAACCTACCAGTCTGGCTGCAATGCACGGCAACTCTCCTATCATCGCACGCATTCATCATCATCACAGTCACCACAATGCGAAGAGGATTTAAATCGCTCCTGCAGGTGCCCTCGCCGACGGACCAACCGGCCATGCAAGTTGACCAACTGGTTGCCCTGTTTTGACCCATGGGCCGGCCCAATCAAGAAACTGCAGCTGCTGTTGTTACAGGTGCAGGCGCCCAGTCAGCGCGCAGTGGCGCGCGCGGCGTTTGGCTTGCAACTGTGCAAGCTCAAAGCAGGGTCACGGGGTCGGCTCGCGAGTGGACATTGTTAGTTGTACAAGAGGGGCCACTCTGCTGTCTGAGGAGCTGACGGGCGCACGCACAACAATGCGCTGTGCATGAAAAAACCGATGTGCCACGCGAGAGTGGATGGCGGCGCACGCAAGGAGCGCGGCGCCGCGTGAGGCACACAAACCTCAAACCTCCGAGACGCAACAGCGAGCGACGGCATGGGCGGCTCTGCGAAAAAAAGCACCACAAACAGGCTGCACAGATCAATCGACTGCGCTAATCAATAAACTGCACTATCGAGCGATGCTGGTAGAAATCCGTCGGGTCTTCTTCAAACAGATGTCCACGAAATGTGAAAGCCCGGCCCCCAAAGAGATGCGTCAAAACCGAGTGCGCGGCCCGCCCTGCCGCCCTCTGCTGCTGCAGCCCGGGGGAAGGGTTAGGGGGCCGATGCGGGCCTCCTAGCAAGCGGTTGTGCGGGGGATCCTGGCTCAGCGGCTCGACCGGCTCGGCACCGTGCTGCACATTGTGCGCAGCGGCCGGGCCAGCAGCGTGCGCCCGATGGGCGTCGGACAGACCGACACAGCAGGCGCGCCGCCGGGCGCGTCGCTTGCGCCGAGCTCCCGCGCGCCCGCCCCCCCGCCTCCCGCCTGAGCCGCCAGAATGCGCTGCAGGGCGGCCGACGGCCCCGCGGCGCCAGCCGCGGCGCCGGCCCCCAAGGGCTGCCGCCGCGCCGCTGCGACCACCATAGCTACAAGCGGCTTGCCCGGGCTCTGGTCGAGCCGATCCAGCGCCCAGAGCAGCTCCGACGCACCGCCCGCGTCGAGCGCGCCCGCGCCGGCCGCGCAGCGCGCCGCGAGCGCCTCCACCAGCACGCGCGGCGGGCTGCACGACAGCGCGGCGAGCGCCCACGCCAGGCGCGGCAGCGCGGACGGCTGCAGCGGCGGGTGCAGCGGCTGCTGCTGCTGCTGCTGCTGCTGCTGGTCAGACTGGTCCAGCAGGCCTGCCAGCACGGGCATGCACCTGTCCATCCAGTCGCCCGGCGGCCTGTGCTGCATGAGGGCCAGGCTCCAGAGGGTGGTCACAAGCGCGTTGGGCGGGAAGCTGGGCAGCAGCTGCCTGGAAGCCGCGAGGACGCCGTCCATCCACTCCTTTGCCGGCTGCTCCTCGAGCATGGCGCAGGCCCAAAGCATGTCGGCGATGCTGCGGGGATGGCGCGGGCCGAGGGGGTTGGGATGGGTGGATGATTGGTTTGGTGGGTGTGGGTGGGGTTGTGTGATGGTGGTGAGGCAGGCAGACAGAGAGGACACCGGTCTCAACGTTGTTGAGCAGCGCGTACAAGCAGACAGATTGACACATGAAGACGGGTGGCAGGGTTGGGCCGTGACACCGCTTCGGCGTCACGCTCCAGGCTGCAAAGCGTGCAGGGGCCCGCGCCGCACCTTGCCGCGTCCAGCTGCTGCATCCGCGCGCCCACCGCCTCAAAGAACGCCCGCATCCACGCGTCCCGCGGCCGCCGCTGCAGCGCCGCGGCGCACCACACCGCGCGCGACAGCTGCGCGGGCGGCAGCGGCGCGAGCCCGACCTCGACGCCGCGCGCCTCCCACGCCGCCATCCACGCCGCGCTCGGGCGGTGGCTTAGCGCCACCAGCGCCCACAGCAGGTCCACCAGCTTCTGGGCCGACATGAATTGCAGCTTCCTGGCGGCTTCCGCGGCCGCCGCCTCGACGAACGCGGGCGGCAGCCGCACCCGCAGCCGCGCGAGCGCTACCAGCGTGCCGACCAGGCTGCCGGCCTTGTGGGCGGGCAGCTTCTCCCAGACCGCAGCCACCGCGGCAGCAGACCATTCGGCGTCGGGGGCGGCGCGCATGGCGTGGACGCCCCCGAGCACGGCGGACACCATCGACGGGCTGCATGCGCCGAGCGCCGCGCGCGCCGCGTCAAGCAGCGCGCCCGCCAGCTCGGGCCGCGAGCCCGCGCCGCCCAGCAGCGGCACCGCGGCGAGCAGCGGCGCGAGGTGCGGGGGCGCCGCGGTCGGCAGGCGCGGCGCGGCCGCCGCGGAAAACGCGGCAGCCCAGGCCGGCGGTGCGGGGGCGCGCAGGCGCACGAGCGCGCGCGCCAGCTGCACCAGCGCCGGCAGCTCGAGGGACGCGAGCTGCGCGGCGGAGCGCGCGCTGAACAGCTCCGCGAGCCAGGGGCGCACGTCAGCTGCAAGCCAGGCCGCGTCCGCGTCCGCCAACGCGGCGCCGTGCGGCGCCGGCCGCGACACCACCGGGCCGCCGGCCGCGGAGGCGGGGCCTGCCCCTTGATCGGCGGTGGAGTCGCCGCCGGCGGCTGCGTCGAACGCGCCAATGGCTGCCGCGGCCCAAAGAGCGCTCGCGAGCTGCTC